CTTTGTTTCAAACCAGAAAGTACCAGACTCCTCCTACCATGCTCTATCTTTACAAGAGTGAGACCAGACCCAAAATGGAACATTTCTACCATATCTGGGCTGGAGCTACACAATTCTCACTTTCTATCCTTGACAGAGTTCAAAAGTGTTTCCTTAGCCTAGTGGGAGTTCAATTTCCAACTCCACAGCCATTTTCCCACAGATAAAACATCACATTACAATATTGCTATTTTTCATAGTGATGTTCAGGCAAGCTATATTTCTTAGTTCTATAAGATTAGAGACTTTTACAGCTATGACTACCCTCATGACATAAACACAAGGTTGAATCACCCTCAGTCCCTTTATATTCCATTGATAAAGAGGAAGTTCCACTCAGAAATCTTCTTCCCAAGGACCACTACTTCCCTTATGACTACAGTCTTAACTTCATTCAGTCTAGGGTCAACTGTTATATGTCTTATGTATCCTCATAATCTGCACTTATTTCATAATCTTACATCCATAAAACAACATTATTTAGTAAATATCTACCTTGAGTGGCTCTTGAGCCTTGTGTTGGGTGAATATTTAGTAAAAACAAAATAACTGGTAATAACTGGATTTGAACTAGAGTTAACAAAACTACCAAAATATCTCAGTTGCAATACCTTAACAGTGTACCTACTTAGGCTTTATTGTAGTCTTATGAGAATACTCAGAAATTCATTCACCCCCACAATTTTTCTGAATTATAGCTTAGCAGTTGATAAAACACAGGCACAACTGTTCACATCAATCATCTTCTCTTACTTTTCCAATGGTTAACTCACACGTATTATCTTCTACATTAGTTTCTTCTCGTGTAAAACCTATTGGTCATTTTTTTCTGCTTTACTTGCCAATTGTTATCAGACAATCACACACAAGATCTGCCACATACCAACTTATTCCTAGAAAACTACACATAAATGCATATCCATGCACATACATATATATGCCCTTACATGCATATATACATATATATATATATATATATTTAGACATGCATATATATATGTATATCTATAAATAAATAAGTAGATGCACACATGCCTGGGAAAGCACATACATATATTTACATACCCCACCAGATTATACAACATACCTATTAGTATTCATTTTACTGTTTTCTTTGTCCTTTCATATTTATAAACAGTGTAGACAAACAACAAAAAGAAACAACACTTTATAGTGACTGGCAGTTTTACACCTCAACTGCGTCCATCCTGATGAGTTAAGGTGTGAAAATACCAGTCACCTTGCAGTGATGATGTTTATGTTCATGCTGTTTATATCGTTTGATGCTCTGTTGTTGATTTAGTAAATTTGAAACAATATATTAACATTTTTTTTTAAAATCATTTCACTGCAAACAAGGCAATAAAGTCTCTAAGATGCATAAGTTTACTGTGTGTGAGAGAATATATGAGAAAAATAAAATATTATTAAGGAGAGAATATTATTAATAAAAGAAAATGAATTAAGAAAACAGAAGATAATGATTATCATTGCATTTAAATTTTTGAAGATCAAAGTTGGCTGGGAAGCAAGAAGCCAGAAGAGCTTCCACAAGCAAGGATTGTGAGAGAAGAAACTGTCAGCATAGAATTTACAGTTACATCTAGTCATTTCTGTAATAAAGTGATGAGAATATATATAAACACAACAGATATATTGTTCTAATTTATGAAACAAATGAGAAAAATTCCAGAATTCTTATGGTTTTCAATATTCATTACAATATTCACAAACTAAAAGATTTCTAATACATGAAACTTGACCACACAATTAGTAAGATATTTAGTGAGACCTCACTTACTCCCAGACAACAACCTTCTGTTATAGACAGCATATGGTTGCAAGAAGGAAATACGACAACAGCTGAAATAGATTTATGTGATTTATTTCAATAGGAACGTGTGAGTTTGGGACAGCTACCTTGTGGTATAGTTCATAAGCCGGCTCCCGATCTGGGTTGATCTCTCATAGTAGTTCACACTGGTGGGCGTAGCGCTCCTCCTACTGACTGCTGCTGACTGGCTGTGACAGGTCTCTTCCCTGGCCTCCTGTTGACTGCTTGTACTTACCCGTGTGACCCCTTTTATGGTGTTTTTTATGGCTTTAACAGGCTCGAAAAACGACGCGAGTATAATTAGGAGGGAAGCATTTTTATTGGTTGAAAACAGAAACACTTTAAAATATTATTTTATTTTTCGACCGGAACTCGTGCTTCGGGCCTATGCACAAACGACGATAATGGTAATTTTGTGATGGGGCCTTGTCCCGTTCACATCCGGCTCTCACTCTTGAGTATGTTAGTTTATTTGCCTGCAAATCAGCTGAGATATATCTTATTTTACTTCAAACATACATTCACTCCTTACATCATCTAAACTATAAAAATCTCCCACTTACCAAAGCAATGTAATGTACAATAAATGTTGATGCCAAGTTTATTAACATATTTTCATCAATAGTATTTTTATGCCACCTGATACAGGGTAATCTGACCTCTTCTATTGACTTTTGTCAGTTCAAATGTAATATATTTCTTGCAACAAAAGCAAAACAGGAAATTATATCAGTGAAACAGGTGCAGAATTCTGTCTTTGGTAAAAACTATAAGAAAACTAATCAAAGACAACAACATCAATCTCGCTGTAAATGCATATTTTAACTAACCAGACTATAGTATTGATAACATTAGATGCATCCTTTTAACATCTTCTTCTAAAGGCCAACAATGATGAAAGTCTGAGTTAAAATACCTTTTTAAAATAAATTCAAATATTTTCCCTAATCATGGAAAGAAACTTTACTAAAGCTATCAGATCTGTATGGTAAAAAAAATTCCCCCAAATAAGTTCAACATATGTCTATTTGAGAACCGACATAGATGCATCCAAAAATTCTAATTTAATGGTTTTTAGCTGTCAATCTGCAAACAGTGTAGAGGATTTGGATCATGTTGTTTGGAGTGATCACAAGTGATAGTGGTGTTATACCTCCATTCATCTTCCCACATGGCCTTAGACTCAACATGGAGGCCTGCATAAAGTGTCCTGAGGAGGTAGTGCTGCCTTTGGTCAAGAGGGTGGCTGCTGGAAGACCCTATATACAGAAACAGGACTCTGGATCCATGACACATAAGCAGGAGGACCCAGTCGACTGTTAGACAATTTCTGTGACCACATCACCCCTTACATTTGGCTATTTAACTTCCCAGACTGCAACCCCTTGAATATTATGTGTGGTGCACAGTTAAGTGAGAGACCAACAAACCTCCTTGTTAAACCAATGGTGAACTGAAGGCAATGATTATGGCAGTATTCATGAACTTAAAGAAGAAGAACCTCCAGAAGAGTTACAGGAGATTCCAAAGTCATCTGGAGGCTGTAGTTGAATGGCAATTTTATTGAATAAATTTGCAATTTAATATTTCAAGATATTTTTGCATAATTTTGGTAAATATATCTGTTAAAATAAGATGTTAGTATTATTTTCATATTTGCGTAATTTAGATAATTTACTCATCGCACCCTGTATACACACACACAAAATAAATTCGACCTTGCCAACTGAACGATCCTTTGTGGCTGAATGGTTAGGCACGTCAATTTAAATGATGGTTCCGTATAGGATGCAGGTTCGAATCCTGTCAAAGGACAAATATTTTCTATGAAAATTTCTCGGACATTCCGTCCGGTAAATGTTATTTAATACTGTTTATTATAAACAGAGCATTTACTTAAATACTTGTATCTATAAAAAGAATGTTAAACATAAAAATGTCTTTAATAAATTGTCGGACTTTGTCCATTTCTTAATGTATATATATATATATATATTTTATATATATATTCTCAGAACCCATTCTATATATCCAGCATTCTGGAGCTGGTTTTCCTTTCCAGAAAATGGAATATCCAGATCCTGTTTCATCAATTCTTCCTTCAGCTAATATTCTGGTTTGACTGAAGGCCACTACATTGATGTTGAAGTATGCATGCTCCTTGTAGACAAGAGCAGTCCTCAGTTCAAACCTTGCATTATCTTGAAGATCAAGAAGCATTCTAATGTTCCACGTACCAAAACTCAGGGTAGAGTAGTTAAGATAATTGAAAGATTTTGGTTGACTGCAGAAAATGAGCACCCACTGGTCAGACTTCCTCAGATATGTCTCATATGAACTCAGTGCAACAATGGATGTCTGCCAACCTTACCTATCCTGATTTTGAAGCTGTGCTCAAGTCCATCTGATCCTTTAGAGCCCCAAGGCCTGATAACATCCCACTAGAACTGATCAAGCATGGTGGATTACCTATCAAAACAAGAATTTTCCTCCCCCTCTGCCTCCTATGGATCTTGGAAAAGGAGGAAGTTCCATTAAATCTGAAGGATGCGGATATCGTCACCATCTTCAAGAAAAGAGATAGAAATATTCATGGAAATTACTGTGGAATCTTTCTTCTGTCCATCACAAGAAAGATCTTCACCAGAAAAAGAAAAAGATTGAAAGAGAAGAAGAATGAAAGAAAAAGAAAAAGAAAAAAAGAGAAAAAGATTAATAAAGTTTGGTAATGAGGCAGATGTAGGTATGGGGGGCTCTGGATAGAGGTAGTACCTTTGATGTCTGGCATACTGCACCATCTCCTAAATCTCACATGTGATGGTTCCAAGTTGGCATGCCCTGGTAAACCACTTCAGCTGGCAGGCTAAATTTACATGAGAGGGTTGTGTTAACATGGCACCACTGGGTGAAGGATCTCTTCAATGTAGATCCCCAAACAGGGTGGAAGATTTCTTCAGATGAACTACAACAACCATGTACTTGGAAAACATTAGCTGTGGTCTAACCTGGAGAGGGATAGGCTCCGCCAGGTTAAAATGTCCAAGGTATACCACATGATTTGCATATTGTTGGCAGAGACCCAGCCTCTGTCACACGGCAACAACAAATGGTCAAAAATGGTTTACACCTCAGCAGTACCAACAACTCCTTCTGGGAATAAGGGTAAAAAATGAAGAAAGTGGTAGAAGAGAAAAAATCATGAGCAAAGAAGAAAATAGAAGAAAAAAATAGAAAGAATAAATGATAGAGAAAGAGAGAGAAAAAGTAATAGAACAACATAAAGACACAAAAAGGAAAAGAATGAAAAAAAGAGAAAATAACTGGCAAAAGCCAGATAATGAAAAAAAGAAAAAGAATGAATGATAGAAAGAGAGGGAAAATGTAATGGAATAGAATAAAGAGACAGAAGGGAAAAGAATAAAAAAAAAAGAGAAAATAACTGGCAAGAGGAAGGAAACTGAAGATCGATGAAAGAAAATAAAATACAATTGAAAATAAAAGAATCAGTGAGAGTAAGTTTAATATCATTGAATGAGTAGACTGAAGAGAAAAAAAAATGGAGGAAAATAAATTTGATGAAAAAGCTAAAATACAAGGAAGATAATTCCAGACAGAAAAGAGAAGTGTAAAAGAAATTAAAAAGATGAATTGGACAGATTGAAATATACAAGAATCAATGAACTAGAAAGAACATGTTAGAAACACAGGTTTTGAATGCCTGAAAGCAAATAATATATTAAGAATTAAAGAGGTCAAGAACAGATAAGATCTCTTTATTCTATAGATTAACATGGACTGACCTGTTAACATGGAAAGCTACAAGCATACCAACAAAACAAGCAGGAATTTTTTTTTTTTTTTTTTTTTTTTTTTGGTAACCACTTTTATCAGATTAAAGAACTATTTCCAATGCCAGTGAAGAATCCAGTGAGTCAAATTATGTCTTTGGAGAAAAATCACAAAACAAGAACCATATAACATTTTTTTCTTTGAAGTTACATCACTAACACGAGCCATTGCAAACATCTGCTTAAGATGAGAATGAAACAATATAAAGAAAAAGGTACCAAACTTTCTACATTTATTGATTTTTACACTTATTTTATTTGACTTTTAATTTCTTTCCATTTTATATTTTTCTCTGTGATTGTTAACAGCCATCACAAGACGGTTAACAGAGGAGAATTCATGGACATCAATAAACAACGAGAAGCAAGTCTCAACATTAAAGTTCATGTTGTTGAGTTTCTATTTTGATGTAGACTATATCTTGAGATTTTTATTTCTTTTTTTAAGTTTCTCTCTATTTTTTTGTGTGGGAGGAGATTTTGCTTTCTTTTCTTGTTTTTTTTTTCCTTCACAAAAGAAATTTCGTAGCAAACTTTGTGTCCTCTTTTCTACCTTTCATTCTGCATTTTTTTCTATTATTTTTCTTTTGTTTGTCTACACTTTTCCAGTCTCTCTATCTCAATGTTTCTCTCTTTCTTTCACTAACTCTCATATGCATATTTACAGACATAGGTTTACCATATGTCCTAGATTGGCTGGGACTATTATGGTTTGACCAGGACTGCCTTGGTGTCCATCTAGAGAAGTAAGTCATAAGTATTCTTTTTTGTATCAGGCCTGAAGTTTAAATGATGTTAGGCTATGAAAATATTTTATTATACAAGAATAAGTAAAAAATTACCACCACTTTTGCCATAAGATATCTTTAGGTTTGTCAGACTTCCTCTGCTTATGCATGCTTATAGTTAGTATATATGAGGGTAAGTAAAAAATTATCCCCACTTTTGCCATAACATATCTTTAGGTTTGTCAGACGGGATTCTGCTTATGTGAGTTGGTACTACTGTGGTCACATGATGATTGAATTTTGAGCTTGTTCATGCTAGTTTTCTAGCTTCAGTTACAGTGTAAACATGGCAATTCCACCAGCAGTGTGCACCAAGGATGAATAAAGAGCAGGGATCCAATTTCTCTGGTTTCAATGTAAGGGACTGAAATTCATTAGAAGCTTTTAACAAAATATGGCAACAGTGCACTACTGCATAGAAGTGCGTATGAGTGGATCAAAATTTTTTAGAGTGGCTGGACAAACATGAAACATGAAGAAGGAGCAGGATGCCCATCAGCCTCTACCACTGACAAGAAGATTCAGCAAGTTCAAGAGAAGCCAATGGCAAACCAGCAAGTTATCTTTAATGAGGTGGCATGTTCTCTTTGTTCTTCCTTGTTGAACACAGCTAACGGAGCAGCCATGTTTACACTGTAATAGCAGCAAGAAAACTGATCTGATCAAGCTCAAACTTAGGTTACATGACCACAATAGTACCAGATATAAGCACACATAAGCAGAATGCAGTATGACAAACCTAACAATATGTTATGGTGAAATTGCAGATAATTTTGACATACACTTGTATAAGGGAATAAAACCTATAATAAAATTGAAAATTCTACTGCTTTGAGGCTTGGAAATTATGGTAAGCTTATACATATAAGTTTTTGTATATTTTCTTTACTCCAATCTTTTGTTGATATCTATGGTATGTGGGTGCACCTCCAAATTCTAGATGATCAGAGTCTGGCAGCTGATCTCTCCTCTGACTGATGGGGAAAAAACTGGCTGATCACATTCAGTGACTCAAAAACCAAATTAGTAATGTTCTATCATCTCTAAGTGGAAACTGAATTTGCATCTATCACAATGAATGGGTGTTCTCACAAGTAGACCCTGTGCCTTGAGCATCTATTGGGACTTAAGCTCACCCCAGACCTCAGTTGGAATGCTTACATATGATGCATCACTAAAGATACTGGAAAAGGGGTCAGTGCCCTGTACTGCTCCAGGAAATACCTGATTCTTCCTGCTATTCTCAAGCTTTACAAGAACTAGATCAGGCTGAAAATGGAGTACTGCTGCCATATATGGGCAGGAGCTGGCTAGTCTTCACTTTCCAACCTTCAAAAGTGTTTATGGAGTCTTGTAAGGGATCAATTATTTTCCACCCTACAACCTCTTTCCCACAGACAATATGTTGTGAGCCTCTCACTGCTTTATCACTATTTCCATGGAAAGTGTTCAGATAACCTATATTTCTTAGCTCTACCAATTCTAACCGACATGGCTAAGACCTGCCATGCCTAATTTATTGTAATGTACCACCGATATTCACTTCACATTCCACTGGTGCGATCTAAGTTGCACTCGTACAGCTTTTTTCTACAAACCACTACTTTGTGGAACTGAGGATGATTTCCGATCACTAAAATCTTAATCTGTTCAAGTTGAGAGCTAACAGTTATCTTCCCCCAAATCCTTATAAACTTTAACTCTCACATGTTACTCTTCCACTTTCTACCTCGAGTGGTTTGGGGACATTGAACAGGGTGAACTATTGTAAAAAAAAATTTTCTTAAGCTCTCTTCTAAACTTTCTTTACTATTTCTTTTCTTTTTCTTACTTTTCTTTGGAATTCTCTGTACTCACTTCATCTTTTGCTTTCATTTTTCATTTTCTTCCTTACTCATATTCTTCCTATTTTGTTTTTCTGTTTCTTTCTTTTTTCTGTTAATCTTTGAAAACATTGTCTTTTGTTCAGCCATTTTGTTTTGAATTTTTGATTATAATGAATATTCACTCATTCTTTTATAATTTTTTCTTTTCTTTCATTTATTTTACTTCTTTTTTCAATTTTTAGAATTTTTTTAATCTTTTTCTGCTTTTTCTTTTGCATCTTCTCTTCCTCATAATTTCCCTTCTCCACTTCACTTTTTCTTTATTCTTCCTCTTTTCAATTATTCAATTTTCTTCTTCTACATAATTCTTCTTCCTAACTCATTTTTCTCATTCTTATTTTTATTTCTTTTTCTTCTTTCATATAATTTTTTCTTCTTCTTCCTTTTTTCTTCTTCATAATTATTCTGCTTCCTCATAATTTTTTTTCTATTCATCTTTATAATTCTTCATCTGCACTTATTCTTTTTTTCTTCTACTTCTTCTTCTCTCTTTCCTTTTCTTTTTATATATATTATTAATTATCAAAATTGTAGGTGTTATTATTGCTGCTCCTGTTATTATGGGCAGTAATTCTTCCTCTCCCCCCACCATTCTTCTTACTGTATGCATTGATCTTCAGCCATATTTCTTCATTTTGTTGAAAGATGTTATGAGACTTGGTCAGTTACAGGATTAGTGTTCAGCTGAAAATTACATTGGCCTTTCAGCTTAAAGCAAAAACAAAAAACAATTAAAACTCAAGTAGACATTGAAAAAGTGTAAAAATAAAATAGGAACTAATAAGAAAGCAAAGAAAATGAAAAAACAGGAATAAAGATAACATGCAAAATGGATGCTACAAAAAAGATGGAAATGGAAAATGTTAAAGAGGTTTTTTTTTTTTTTTTTGCATCTTTTGACAGCAGAAAAGTAAGCTCTTGGGAACAGGTTTATATATAAGAAAAATGCAAAGAACAACAGGAAAATTAATGTTAATCTACAGACTGAACAAATGGCAAAATAAAAACCCCTGGGTGGAGATTGAAGGAAGCAGAAGAGACCACAAATTTCACTTGTTTTTAGTTTCTTTTTTTAGATCAGGAACAAGCAGAATCAGACAGGTGGAAAGAAAAGATGCAGATTAAAAAAATAAATTTGAAGATAAACGTCTGAAATAAGTTGGAAATGTTTGGTTTGGCATGAAACATGTTTGGTAGATATCTTTTAAAAAGTTTATGTAAAAAAAAAAATGACTATTTGGTTGATAGCACTTGAGGAGGTGCTGAAAAGTTCTGAACCCAATCCACATTCCAAAATTTGCCCAAATAATCAAATATATTTTTGCTTAAACCAAGAATTTTTCAGCATCCCTATGCAAATTACAAATTATAGTCCCCAAAATCAAACAAGTACAAAAATTTAAATATCTTGGAAGTGTTTTAACAGAGAATGGAAAGTGTAACACAGAAATCTGAAGGCGCATCGGGATAGCAAAAGGTGCCTTCCAAAAGCTAAGCAAATTATTAAGAAATAGAAATATTTCATTAGAAATGAAGAAAAGAGTAATGAACGATTATGTAATATCAGTCCTCCTATTTGACAGTGAATGCTGAATTTTCTCATACATGAGGTAGAGACTTGAACATATGTGCCATAATGAAGTTCTAGTTTGGTTTATTTAGTTTAATTTGTTTTACGGCATATTAACACCTTAGTGGGTTATTTAATGCCAACAGGATTTTTAGGATAAGTTTGTATGAATAGAATGTGTATTCTTTGTGGGAAATCAGTTTCAAGTTTCAATAATGTATTTTTGTAAAGAGGTTTTTGTTGAGAGTCATATGTATTGCTGGTATTTTTTTTTTTAAATCTATTGCTGATATTATTACTATAAGATTGGGGGTTAACTATTTGCCCATAGCTGGGATTGTAACAAGTACAACCACCTGGGGTCAGTGTGAACCTGGGAACAATAGTAATTAAAATGTGGTTCCATGCTCGTGAAAACCTCCCCTTCTTGCTGGAT